CTACCTTCTATTCAGTTAATCCATTTTAATATTTTAAGACACATAAAGTAAATTGCCTTTGTGTGTCTTTATACCTTATGCCTAATAGTGCAACATGCATATTATTAGCTAGAGCTCAGTATTTGCTAACAGTTTTCTTTTGTAGTTACAATTTACTTTCAGTGAAGTGCACAAATATCAGGAGTGCCATTTCATTAATTTTGATAAATGCATACACTTGTGCAATCCAAGACATAGAATTTCCCACATGTCTTCACGGTTAATCCCTGACCCTTCCCCTTGAAGCAATCTTTGATTTTTTTTTTTTTTAGCCTATATTGCTTGGACTTGTAGAGCTTTATGTTTGCTGACCTGTAGAGGAAAATTATTTTTCTGTAAGATGTAGTTCACACAGCATAATAGTTCTCAGATTCTTCCATGTTACACGTGTTCATAACTCATTACTTTTTGTTGCTGAGGAGTGCTTCATTGTATGAATAGGGCACAGTTTTTTATACACTTTCCTGATAAGGGATATCTGAGGCTGCTTACAGTTTGGGGCTATTATAAATAAAGCTGCTAGAAATGTCTTAGCCCTATATCAATCTTTCTTGTATACATTTGCATTCATTTCTCTTGGGTGAATATACAGATATGGAATTGCTGAGTTATAGGGTAAGTGTATGTTTAGTTTTCTAGAAAACTGTCAAATTCTTTGTAAAACAAAGTAGTTTTACTGTTTTACACTCCTACTAACAATGTTTGAGAATCCAGGGATACTAGCATTTGGTATATCAGTCTTTGATTTTAGTTTCTGGTGGCTATGTAGTAATATCTCACTGTGGCTCTAATTTCATTTTAACTTGTTGACTAATGATGTTGAACACTTGGCCATGTTCTTATAGACCATTCATAGATAACCCTTTGTGAATTGTCTCTTCAAATCTTTTGTTTTTAAAATTGAGTTGTTTGACATTGAGTTGTAGGAGTCCTTTATGTATATGATGCAGAACTTTTTCCAGATATGTTTGCAAATATTTTCCCAGTCTGTGGTTTATCTATTTATTTCCTTGAATGATATCTTTTCATCATTGAAGGCTTTTTAAATTTGATAATGTATACTGTATCAGTTTATTTTTTATAGTTAGTGCTTCTGTGTCCTAGCTAAGAAACCTTTGCCTTCACCAAGTTACAGAGATACTGTTTTCATTGAGTAGCCTTATAGTTTTAGTTTTATGTTTAGAACTGTAATAGGCCTGAAATTAATTTCTGTGTTTGAAGTGAGGTAGGGATCAAGGTTCATTTATTTTCCCCATATGGATTTCTAACTTTCTGAGCAATTCATTGACACTATTTTCATATACTTACATGTTTACATATATAAACTATTTTCCTCATTGTATTATCTTGGTAACTTTGTTGAAATCAAATGACTTTATAAATGTGCTTATACTTCTAGACTTTTTATTGTTTACTGATCATTTGTCCTTGTATCAGTTTTATCCTATCTTGAATATTGTAATTTTACAGTAAGTGTAGTATAGTAAAGGCTTCTCTCGTTAGTCTCTTTTTCCCAGAATTTCCACTTTCACTTTCTGTTACCTAATCTGTGTCATTCTCCCCTCCAGTTTCTGACTGCTTTTGTGTAGCTCATCATTGTCTTTAGGTAGCTCTTTTATGTATTTGCCCAGATACAGTTTAAATTTGTTGACAGAGAGAAGGTTGGTCCAGTAGGAGCCACTCCTCCATTACAGAAGTGGTACCCAGATGGTTTTTAAAAGTCATACTGAGCAGGCATCTGGCCAGAGATGCAATTAAAACAAGGAATGGGGAGAAGTTGAGTGCAAAGAGGGGCAAGTTTTGAATAGAGGGACAGGATTCAGTTCACCTCAGTTAGGGAAGGCTTAGTTAGACTAATGCTAAACAGTACTTGGGAGAACTCCAAGAGAAAGAACTTGCTAGAACACTGTTTTTGATTTTTTAATTTTATTTTTAATTAAAGATTTTATTAGAGAGAGCAAGCACAAGTGGGGGGAGGGCAGAGGGAAAGGGAGAGGGAGAAGCAGATACCCCACTCAGCCAGGAGCCCAGTGTAGGGCTCGATCCTAGGATCCCGAGATCATGACCGAATTGAGCCCCCCAGGTACCCCTAGAACGTTGTTTTTTTAAATTGTGAATTATAAAAGCAATTTAGGAGGTGGCCTCTGAAAAGTCATTTTTGCTTCTAACCTAACTCAAAACCATACAACAAAAGAAAGTAAGATCATTGCATTACTGATTTTCCCTTTTATCCTTAGCTCTCTAATTAGAGAATAGTCTCTGGAGTCACTGAATTCCTACCTTCTCTATGATAGATCACGGACTTTAATTTTCTGTTGGACTTCTCTTGTAACACATATGATCATATAAACAGCATACTTCCCAATAAATGTTAAACATGCTTCTGTAAATAGATCAAACATTTGTTAAAATGATGTCAGGGCTAATGAAGCATGACAACTTTTAGAGATGCACAATTTTAAAGACTCCTTAACTGATATCTTTTATGGGGAAGAGGAAGTCTTGAAAATATATTCATCATTCATGTAACATGCTCTCTCATCAACAAATCCCAAGAACAAGTTCCTTGTTCTTGAAAAGGGAAATGACAGAGCACTATTGGGAATGCTTTAAATTGGGATAGTATTAGAACCTTTTGCTTCTTTCTTCCTTTTTTATTCCTCTTCTATTCTCTGTCTATAACCCTTCTTCTAGCCCCTAATACACACACTCATGTGAGGTCTGGGTAAAAGTACAAATTAAGCAATCAGAACTATAAGCTGTATAAATCTAAGAAAATTAAATAAGTAAAAGGATGCTAATGCATCTTTCAATTTTTAAAATTAGGCAGAGCTCTGGAAATTGGTGATAATGAAGAAAAAGCTCCTCTCAGATTCATTAGATAATTTTTCCATGGTCAGATTTTTCTCTCATTAGGAGAGAGTGTGATAATTTCATCATTAGCAGAAGAAGGTTAAAAGAGAACAATAGTACTTCAAAAGACACCATTAAAAAGGGTAGGGCACAGACAGGGAGAAACTATTGACAACACATAGGTCTGACAGTGAACTTGTAAACAGAATGTATCAAGAACTCCCAAGAACCAATAGTAATAAGACAAACCACCTAATTAAACAAATGGGCAAGAGCTTGAAGAGACAGTCAGAGAAGAGTGTATCAATTGCCTAAAAGCACATGATAATACACTCTACATTGTTAGCATTCATGGAAATGCAAATCAAAACTACAGGCATTTTTTTTAAGATCTTATTTATTTATTCATGAGATATATATATATATATAGAGAGAGAGAGAGAAGCAGAGACCCAGACAGAGGGAGAAGCAGGCTCCATGCAGGGAGCCTGATGTGGGACTCGATCCCTGGACTCCAAGATCACGCCCTGGGCTGAAGGCAGGCGCTAAACCACTGAGCCACCCAGGGATCCCAAAACTACAGGAATTAATAAAAGGAAAAAGACTGGCAGTATCAGGTGTTGACAAGGATGTGAAGCAGTGAATACTCATAGTTTGCTGGTGTGCATGTAATGTTTGTGTTACAACCACTTTGGAAGACATTTTGGCAATTTGTTATAAAGCTAACCATGCACTTTCATTTAAACCTTGAACTTCCACTCCTAGGTATATACTTAAAGATAATGAAAATCTATATTCATAAAAATCCCTTGTGCATACATAGCAGCTTTATTTATACTAACTAAACATGAAAAACCCAAATGTTCAACGCGAGAAAGGATAAACAAATTGTGGTATGTTTACACAGTGGAATACTATTCATCACTGAAAAGGAATGACCTACTGATGCATGTAGCAATGTGGAGGAATCTGCAAAACATACTGTGCAAAAGTAGTAGCCAGGCACAAAAGTGTTTATATTATGTTTGTATTTGTATAAAATTCATTTTAAAATGTAAAATTCATTTAGAAATGCAAAGTTAATAATATATTTTGATAAAAATCAGACCACAGGTTGCCTGGAGTGGAGATGGTTTTGACTGCAAAGAGGCATAGGGATGTTGTGGAATGATGGAAATATTCAGTAATTATGGGGTTACATAAATGTAATTATAAATCTCAGCTCAAGGATTAATATATGCATCTCACTGAATCCCAAACTATTTCAAGAAAGTTGTTTGTTTGTTTTTAAGTAAAAAAATAGTTCCAGACCCATACTGTGACTACCTTGGCATATGAAGCTACCACACTTAACGCTCCTCTCTTTGGTACTCTTCCTAGTCATCTTTGATAACCACCGCCCTGGACAGAGACAATTTTTATAATCACAGTACATTTTATTAAGCACACTGAATGGAAAGCCCTTGGGACGCCTGAGTGGTTCAGTGGTTGAGCACCTGTCTTCAGCTCAGGGTATGATCCTGGGGTCCTGGGATCGGGTCCTGCATCGGGCTCCCTGCAGGGAGCCTGCTACTCCTCTACCTATGTTTTTGCTTCTCTCTCTGTGTGTGTCTCTCATGAATAAATAAATCTTTTTTAAAAATGGAAAGCCCCTCATTGAAATGAAGCACAACACATGGATGGGATACGTGGGATGGAATACATGTCCAGGATTCAAACTGCACGATTAAGTGTTTGTCTTTGCGCTAACTCCCATATCAACTCTAGAACCTTCTCACCCTCTTCTACCCTTTGTTTCATCCTCATATGATCCCATTTGCCTGACTACAAACTATAATGGAGCTTTTAAAATTATATGCTCTGAGCATTTCTTTATTCCAGATTCTAAAGATGAACCTGAGGATAATGGGACATGTATACAATTACTTTAGGAATTGTACAGCATCTTTGGGGGATCTCACTGTGCTAACGACTCACATATTTACTTTGAAATATCAGTGAAATTGTGGTAGACAGCCCAGGGTCAAGATCAAGCAGCAGCCTGATGTTTACTTATGCTAAAATCTGTGACTGTTTATAGTACTTTTTTCTCTTCACCTTTTCTCTAGGCCTACTCTGTCTACGACGAAGACATTGGGTACTGTCAAGGACAGTCCTTTCTTGCTGCTGTATTGCTGCTGCATGTGAGTAATTTTCCATGTGATAAATGGCACAGTGCTGCCAAGATTATTTTATTTTCTACTTGGTTTTGTTCTTCTTTCCTATTTTCCATTTATCTGATGGAGATTACACATGGCACATCTTTTTTAAAGTGTACCTTTGGTGATAAAGTAAGAGGTCTGATGTCAAGTACAGGACAGTTTCTCAATTGAATTAATATTCCTGACGGGGAATAAATTGCTTATTTGGAGTTTTTTTTAATGAGAATCCTCTAGAATTAAGTCGATGTAACTGCTCAGATAGGAGCATGAGTAGAACCATTATGAAGGACTATGGCAAGGAAGTCTTACCTTTTCTACAATTTATTTTTGTATACTCTTTTTACTCTCAGTCACCTTCATTTAATGGGACATTTATCGATCATCAGTCTGTCAGTGCTAGGTTAGGAAGTGGGATTACAAATATGAATAATTTATCACGTGTGTTCTCAAAGGCCTCGTGGTTTAGGATAGGGCACAAGAACTGTAGGCACACACTGATTATTTTTATTCTTTTTATGTGTCTTTATTGATTTTTCTGATGTTCACTAAAGAAGAACTGACAGTGTGCTAAGTAAAAACAATACACAGAGTAAGAGTACAAAAAAGGAGAATTACCCAGCCCAGCTCTGTCAGAACTTTCAGGAAAGACTTTCTGGAGGGGATGGTAGCCTTGCCTTGACAGAAATAATTGAGATTGGGGAAAGGTGGCAGTAGAGATAGCTGAAGAAGAGGAACAACATGAGCAAATGTATGAAAATACAGAAGGTCACAGCATATAAAGGGGACAATATGAAATTACAATTTCTGTAGGAAATGTATGTAAAGACAGATATGAAATAAAACTGGTCAGATGGGCAGGGACCAAATCATAAAGACTCTTGACTCATGTCAAGAAAGGTGGTCATTATTATTGAGTTAATGAGGAGCCATTGATTAGTTTGGAGAAAGGGAAGGACAGTTAGATGTTCATTTCAGGGAAATTATTCTTATACCCTTGTAGAGGGTGAAATTAAAGGGGATAGGCAGCAGCAGGGAGACCAGTTAGGCACTATCAATCTAAATGAGAGATGTTGAGACTGAGAGAAAAAGAAGCTGAATTAAGAAACACACAGGAGGCAAAATTGGCAAGTTTTATGGAAGGGTTGACAAAAGAAGAGTCAAAAGTAACGTCTAATTTTCTAGCTTTGGTGACTGGATAACTTGTGGTATTTTTTTTCTTTGACTTGTGGTATTTTTAGCTGAGATAGAAAATATATCCATTGAGATTGAATGGAGAAAAATGATTAGGAGTTGATGATGAATTTTGTTTTGAATTCTTTGAGTTTGGGATATTTTGGGGACATCTGAGTGAAGCTGATGCTGAGGGAGAAATCACAGCTGAAATCATGAGAGTGGATTAGATCATCTAAGAAAAATGAATAGAATTCCAGAGCCCAGGAGTTCCAGATATTTAAAGAACTTATGAGGAACAGGAATTCCTAGCGAGTTTCTGATTTCAGTAGGAAGGAAGCAGTGAATGCTGTCAAATGCAGCAAAGAGGTCTAGAGACTTTAAAGCATTTCTTTTAGGTTTGTATTCTGGAAATGAAGAATGATTGTAGTAGATTTATGGTCCTAATTCTGATAATTTGATTCCAATGATAATAATGATATATAGTGGTTTTGCTGTGATGAATCACTTTATTTAACTTTGATTTCTTCCTCTGTTGCATTATCCTCTTTATTATTATTATTAAATATTTTATTTATTCATTCTTGAGAGACACAGGGAGAGAGAGAGAGGCAGAGGGAGAAGCAGGCTCTGTGCAGGGAGCCTGACATGGGACTCGATCCCGGATCTCCAGGATCATGCCCTGGGCTGAAGGTGGCGCTAAACTGCTGAGCCACCCAGGGATCCCCTGCATTATCCTCTGTTTATGGTCTTCTTGATCTTTTCCTTGTTATCCTTCTTTCTTTGATATCTCCATGGCCCATCTTCTTGGTATTCCCTAGATTATCAAGCCACTGGCCACAAATTCCCAAAGCTCTTGTTCTGCTACTGAACCCACCTACTGTCTCACATAGTCAGCTCTCTGACAAAGGGGTGTAGAGACAGCACGCAGGGACATGGGTAACATGTTAACCGAGGTTCAGAATCATCTTTCTTCTACAAAGAGCCTTTATAATGATTTGATGAGAAGCCGAAGTTGAAGCCATGGGTGGTGAAATTTCATCTTCCACAAAGTAATCTTTGCATATATCAGTTTACCACTTTAGACCTGTAGCCCTCCTAATAAACACATTACAATATATTGATTAAACTTCAGTGAGAAGAACATCTGTCTCAGAAATCTGTTTTTAGATTTCACAGAGGGTTAAATATGAGTTCCTATTTATTTGGAAATACCTTCCCACAACAACAACAAAAAAAAAAGCCAGTGATCCAAATAACTAGAAAACTCAAGTACCTAGAATTTTTTTGTACATTATCTCCTCTTATAAGAGTCACATGGCAAGTCAGCATTCTAAACTTGCTCTTCAAACTACGTCACAAGATGGACAGAAAGAAATTCAGTCCAGTTTTCTCAAACTTTTTACAATAATAGAATTATGCAGTTGTTGCCGTGGCTTATAAAAATAACTAGAAATATATAAATAAATTCAGAATCCTTGAGGAAAATTTCACTCATATTCTGCATAGTGTTAATGAGAAACATATTATTGTAATTTTTAATTGAGAGTATATGCAATAATTCTTTTAATTAGCATATTCCAATAACTGACCAACCCATCCATTAACTAATTTGAATAAGAGAAAATAACTGTAAATTATTTTTCTTTTTCATACTTTTGCCTCTGTAGGTAGAAGAATACAGTCTAGTCTAAACAACTCATCATATATATTATCTCAGGTTCTAGGAAGATCCGTTATTAGGGTGTTACTGACTAATTTTTTTTATCAGTTACATAAGCAATTGCTTCTTTCTGCTGCCAGACATTCTTTGGCAACTCCATATTAATCATTGTCAGAACCTGATTCTTTTGGGGATGCTGTCTTTTCCTTCACCATGGCCATTTATATTTCACATTCACTGCCTCAGAAGAAGGGAAGATCAAAAATGAAAGTATGTTCAAAAACTAAAGTTTAGAATTTTTAAGGTTTTCCATTGTCTAAGTAGTTTTAAGTAATAATTAGGTTCTCTTTGTGCTTGGAAATTTCCCAGTGCTTTGATAATAGCTTTGCAATTTGTAGTATTTTAAGCAGTACAAGAATTGTTTATCACAGTAGATGCTATTATATCTATTGATAGAATAGTAAGAAATTTATCCTTTACTGTTGATCAAGAAAGCCATAGCACAGATAAGTAACATGATCATTATAGTATTAATCATTGCTTATTTGGAAATATATTTATAAATATACATATAGGAGGAAATAATTATATTTCCTTTTATTTATTTAATTTATTCTAAAAATCATATAAAATATTTTAAATAATTTTTAACCTGATATATTTTTCTAGCATATTTGCTGCAAGTATTTTAAAATTTTTTCTTGACCTTTGGAAAATCATGTTCCTTTTTAAGGTTAAATTACTGTATGTATATTACTATTGGCATGTATGGAAACTTTCCTACTCCAGAAAGGATTATTTTTGGATAGTCCAGAATGTTTAAAATTATTGAATTTTTTAAAAACACTATGACTTGGCAAATTGAACTTAAATAAAATAGTAAAAAAAAAAAAAAACCCACTATGACTAGTCACAATTCCTTTGGAAACCAAAGACTTTATCTGACAAAGATATGCATACCCATCAATTCCACTCCTAGGTATGAATCTTAGTCAAATTTACACATATGTATACCAGAGTCATGTATTAGAATTTCCCCAGGATCAGTGTTTATAACAAACAACTCAAATGTCCACTTTAGAATGCCTAATACGAGAATTGTAATTAGACATTAAAATGGAAAAATTGTGATATATTTAATAGTAGAAAACTATATAACAATCAAATGAATGTTTTACACTGTATAAGTTAATGTGAATGAACCATACAAATATAAGGTTTAGTAAGAAAGCAAAGAATAACTTGGCATCATTTGGTATGATTACATTTAGCATAAAGTTCAATAGCAGACAAAACTAAATTCTATTTTTAGGATGTTACCTAGATAGAAAATACAAATAACACCAATGAAGTGATTACTGATAAAGTCAGAATAGTAATTTCTTGACAAATTGGGAGTCATGATTGGGATAGGACATAAAGGGATCTTCAAAAGTATTGAGAGTACTCTGTTTCTTAACTTGGGTGGTGGTTCCACTTGTCTATAATTTTTTGGGTTTATTTTATGATCAAGTTATTTATTAAAGTGTACATTTAACTTTTATGCACTTTTTGTGGGTTGTATTTTAAATGAAATAAAGTTTAAAAATTGTAAATCCTTTACCGCAATCGCCTCAAAAAAATAGGTTTAGGGTAAGATTTCACCAATGGAGTTAAGAAAGGAGAGGCAGAGCTACTTCTTAGTTTTCATAAAGGAATTCCACAGAATCCAGGGTATAAGATACTGACTTCCTGGTGTCTTTATATGTTTATGTAAGAAAAAGTATTTGTGCAATCATATTATTCAGGATTCTGCTACATGCGACATAATCTTAACTCCAAGTATCTGAAATTAAAAAGGAAATTTATAGGTTCATATAATGAGGAAGTCCAGGACAGAGATGATTTTGACATGGTTGGATTCAAGAGTTCATATTTTGTCATCAGGAATCTATGTCTCTGTATCTCTGTTCTGCTTAAATTTTTTTTAGTTTATATGGGCAGGTTACAAAATAGGCAATATGGCTGACCTATCTTCCATATGTCTTTAACTTTACAACTTCATTTAAAAGGGACCATCTTTTGCTCTAACTACTGCATGAAAAAAAAAAAAATCCCCGGAGGACTCTGATTGGCCCATCTTGGGAACCTGCTGCTATCCTTGAATCAA